TCGGCAGACAAGATTGAGACGGAGACAGCGACGGAGAGAGGAAGAGAGACGGCAGAGTGTTTGTCTCAGCCACCGGTCGTGATACCTCGCCACGTGACTACCTGCCGAAGAGAAGCCCCCGATTTCAGCCTTGTACAGAACTTTACCAAAACAGCAAAACAAAGTTTACCAAATCAACAACGATATCATTTCCGATTTAGACGCGGGTTGGGCTGATAATTAATTGCATGCGAACTCTGATATAAACCAATTATTTGTACGGAGGACCGATATAAAAAAAACAGTATTTACTTTTGTTCAGTTTATTCCAGTGTTATTTTTTTCACCCTGTATGTCTTCGCCCTGCTTGGACGAGCCCAACAGGAAGATAGCTGAGACGATTCGATCTTGGACTCTTTATGATCAAACTTAAATCACAATAGGGCAGGACTGAGATTGAAGCGATCTTCATCGATCAGCTGCGATGCTGGAAGTCTTGGACGAAGATGTTGTATGATTACATTAATACATTATCAAAATTGTGAAATATATCAATAAGGACAATAGTAAAAGTTAAAGGCTAAAATTTATACATAAAGCTAAAACTAAAGAAGCCCTAACTATTCTTGTGCAACAAATACACATGTCTGCATGATTGAATTATTTTCTATAATTTCCCCTCCAGCGATATTGGCCGTATCTTGTACGGCACACTTATTATTTTTCTAATAATTTCCACAGGAGTGTAACATTATGTGGGTAAAATAGAGGAGAAGAAGTTAAAGGCGGGAATTAGCAACAAAATATCTCCTGGGCAAAAACATACCTCGATGGTTGACCGCTTGAGAAAACCAGGTGATAAAAGCTTGGATGTGCGGGTGGTGTAATGGATAATGGCATGGATTGGTTAATCGGAGAACAGAGTTCCAATTCGCAATGGGTTCGTTAAATTTACTTAAGCGCAAATAACTTTGGGAAATGAATCAATCCACCTTTCACCCACCTATGGATTAATCAGTCAGATGAAAAAAAAAGATTATTATTTAAATAAATAAAATTACGTACAAAATATTTAAATTTCGGCATTAAATAACCCATACAGTTTGATATACTTCTAAACAAAACCAACTAACAAACCAACCAACAATCTAATTAAAATCAGGCATATATATGCTTGGAAAATATTGCTGAAATATTATATATTTGGTGGAGCATGTTGAAAGTATCGAGATCCATAAAAAATCAATAAAATTAAAATATTGGTGCATATTAATTAGTTTGTTAATTGGCAAACCAGCAATTAGCACGAAGGTGAGATTTCCTGGTAAAATAGGCGTTTCTCCCTCTAAGATACTTTCGTAAACATTTTCACCTCGGGTTAATCTGGGTGTGCACATGCTAGGATAAAGGAGTTTTCTCACTCACTTTACCCTCTTCTTCACTGGTAAATAGACGGAAAAATAAAATAAACAGCCAATACAGATTATATTGTGCTATTTAATACAACAAAAGATTTCATTTTCTGAAAAAATCGACTGATTTGATTTTTATAAAAAAAACCACAGGTATACATAGTGTTTTTATTTTAGTAAAAAAAACAAACAAAACAAATCAGTTGTTTTCTCTTTAGTATATTAAACTGAAGGGGGCGGAAACTAACAGAGCGATACCGCCATTACGGACTACTACAGAAGAAAGCTCGTAGTCGCCAAAAACTAGTTCTCTAACTATATACCCAATAATATATAATGCCACAGCTGTCATAGAGCTAGAGGGATTTAGTTCCAGTTTATTGAACATATGCTCATAAGTTATAAACATTTATTAGATTTAAAAAAATCCTCATCGGCATGGATTATCCGGACGGTATTAATATTCAGTAGGAAAAAGTACCGTAAAATGTTCATTGTAGTAAGAAATCGTTGTCACTTTAAATAATGTTTACAATTATATGGCGGTAGTGAACGTTTGAGGTCACAGGCTGTTGCTGGTGACGTCATATCTTCTCCTTTTTTGACGTGGGCAGTCATGATTCTCCACAACTTCCTGTTTTTCCCCTCTCTTTAAATAATGGATTGGATGCTCCCAAATGTAATTTGCAGCAGTCAACAGATACCTTTTGTTTCAATTTAAGGTGATATATAGGAGCCATTACAATAAAGATCTAACTTATTTAGTCAGCATTTAGACAGGACAGAAGTTATACTCGTGTATTTCAAATACAAATGGCGAAACGATTAAAATATTTCCTTCAATTTTCTACCCGACACGATGCTTATTTTTTACCGTACACTTAGGCACGGTGGAATAAAGGAAGCACGGTGGAGTATTTGATAGCGGCTCGGATTGAGGAAATGGAGAGCCGAGTTCGAATTCCAGTCGAATCAATTACATTCACTTATGTGCGAATCCAGCTATGGGTAAATAGCAGAACAGAGCGGGTTCTATAGCCTTGGGTGGCAACTGGTCTACCGCAGAAAGTAATGGCAAACTATTGCGGGGAAAAAATCTTCCTCGTCAGTCATGTATCGAAAGATGCATGATCCCCTAAGCGTTTATCACGCGTGGCAAATAACTGACTGACACTCAAACAATTTTCTCCGCAGGACCCAATATTTTATTCCAAATTATTAAACTTATATTAAAATTTCTGAAGGCATGCTTATTTAAACCGGCACGCTTAATTTATATATTGCAACATTCCCAGCACCGTGATTATTCTAGACGGTACTTCAATTTGCCACAAAATAATCTATGAGAAATATGACAGTCAAATGAAAAAGTGTATAAGAATAGTGGTCGATACTAAAGTAAGTAGTCACACAGATTAAACTAGGAACGACTTCCTCTTTTCTTTTACAGGGGCGACTAATTTATCCTAATTAACCCATAGCTTAGGGGGAAATAAATGAATTCATACTTTTCCCAAGAGTATTTACGCGTAAGTGAATATAACGAACTCGACTGGAATTCGAACTCCCCCCGATTTACCAATTCCGAGCCGTTATCCATTACACCACCCGCACATCCAAGCTTAAAGAAACTAGTATTACCAAGCGGTCTCCCATTTCAAATAACTTTTTAAAGTGATAAATACGTTTTAAGCTGCCGATTATTTACTGTTTTACAAGGTGCGACAGAAATACCTGACCTACATACCTCCCAGAAATACCTCCCACATAATATTAAAACGTCCTCTAGATAAAGACACCATTGAAAACATTTGGATGTAGTTATAGTGCACCCTGTATTTAAGTAGATCTAATGCTTATCTTATAACAAGAAGAATATTACTTAAAAACAATATTCACATTTGAAAATTTACAATAGAAAACAAAAAAAAAACTCCTCTCGCAGAACAATTAGTACAGCGAGTTAAAAATTCGATGACTCTTCCCTGTAGTATAGGCTTTATTCCAGTCTAACTTTAGCTTAGAATTTAATTATTATAAGTGAATGGACGCTAGTGCAACGATTGAACTGATAGTTGCTGTAACACAGCTTAATTCACTAAGAGGAAAAATGTACACGCTAACATCACCAATCAATTAAGAGCAGATGTCATGAAAACTAGTACTATTTACCTTTTTGCACAGTTTACTAAATGTTATTAGCTGCTTTTGCACTAATTGGATATCAAACTACATCCCGCGGCCTTAGGTATCCAGTACGTTTCTGATTATTCGTGCTGTTCCAAGCAAACATGCCTTGTATTCCACATAAAATCTTAATGGTAAATCAAAGGCTTTCAACCAATGGACACTATCCTTTGCTACTCTTCATAAAGCTCTGATTCCAGTGGGGACATTCTCTACCCTTTTGGCAATTTCATAATCTGTGGTTGTCGTTCTTAATGTGAGTATTGTTCTCATTAGCCTAAATCGTGTTATTCCATATCGTTTACAAGGGCTAAAATGCAGTACTGTTTCCATATAGGGGAAGGAGATTTACTTTCCAGTCTTGATAGTCTCTAGATGTGTCTCTTTTTCCTTGTGGATGACAAAATATTTTCCACCCTTACAGCAGGTACGTCTCAAGCCTCTCACTGCTCTATCTCTATTTCCATGGAAAGGGCTCAAACGGAACAGATTCCATAGTCCCACTAGTTTTAGCCTTCACGTCTAAGACTCGCCAGATCTAAGTTCCACTCTAGCAGCTTCTCACGAATCACTGCCTTGTGGAATCGACTCCCAAGAGGTTGCTTCACGGATCAATACAATCCTAACCTGATAAATCTAGAATTAACACTTATCTTCCCCACATATCCGCATAAACTGTACCTCTTACTCTGTAACCCTCTACCACGAGTGACTCCGGGGCCTTGTATATAGTGGACATCACTGTAAAAAAATTATTTCCTTTTTTTCCTCGACTACTCTGGTATCAGAGAGACAAGTAATGTCTAATTACATTCAGTTTCCTTTGATGAAAGCAACTACAGGTTGATTAAAAAGTAACTCCTTACCCTTATTTTATGTGCGATTGACTCGTTTAACTTTAATTTTTACAAGACGGGAGAGTCCATCATACATAAAATAGGGAGTTACTTTTCAATGACCCTGTATATCCAGGCGTGGAAGTTAAAAGATTTTACCCATGGAATTTTCATGTATCGTAAAAGCCTTTACTTTTTGAAAAATTTTCAATGAATCTATCCAGCTAATGAAAATACCAATATCTCTACGTTCAAATCCAGTTTTATTTTTTTTTTAACAAAGTTCACCATGTAAATGAGAAGCCGGATTTTTATAGTTCAGATTGTTCAAACCTTCTGTCTAAGCCTGGAGCAATTCCATATTACGGATAAGACAACATTCGTTTCACCGCACCAGAATCTCTATGCTGGTGAAATGTTTTCTTTCTCCACGTATTTTCTGATGACTTTCGTTCTAATAGCCTTCTTCTGACCAGTAATTAACAATCTTGCTGTTTCCTTTTTCATATCCCCTTTTCGCAAACAATGTCTCATTTCTTTTTTAGTTTTCCGGCTGTACTCTCTTCTTTTCTACACCCTCTTCGGTTTGCGGACATATCTCGTTGAAACACCGGTTTTCGTACGATCACCGAAGTTAAGCAACGTTGAGCCTGGTCAGTACATAAATAGGTATCCACCTGGGAATACCAGATGATGTAGGCTTGGATGTGTGGATGGTGTAATGCATAAAGGCTCAGAACTGAGGGGCACGAGGTTCAATTTCAATCGGGTTTGTTATATTCATTTATGCACAAATATTGTTGAGAAAGGTATGAATCCGTCGATTCTCCATCCAGATAAAAATTATTTAGTAGGACTTGTATCAGTAAATCATTATCAGCTACAAAAGAAGGCTTGAAATCTAAAAATATTTCGTTTTTAAATGAGCTGCAAAATGTTGGTAAACCATAAAAATAAATCAATTTAATTCTTTTGACTCTTTGGTTTCTTCTTCTTCTTCTTCTTCTTCTTCTTCTTCTTCTTCTTCTTCTATTGGTACTTACTTCCGTTCCTCCTTCATTTTGCTTTTGCTTCTACTTCTTCCTCTTCTATTCCTACTCCTCTTCCTGTTCTTCTTTTGCTTCTTTTCTTTTGTTTTTTCTTCTTCCTCCTCCTTTTTTTCTTTTGTTTCCACTTCTTATGTTTTTTTATTTTCCTCCTTCTTCTTTTTTCGTATCTTGTTTTAATTTTTCCCTCTTTTTGCTTTTTCAACCTCGTCAAAGTCTCAAAATTCGGTTTTTCCTATTTATACAAGAAAACAGATAAAAAAAAAATTCATAGCAGAGAACGTACATTTATTTATTTATGATGATCGTATATCAAAAAACAGAATGTTCTCAACTGATCTTTCATACATGATGCAATTTCATTAACTTTTCATGAAAGGTACTAAGGATGCTCTCATTTTTACTTCATTCTTTAATAATGTAGCTGATGAATTATGAGGTCAACGACTTCGAATGGTACTAAATATAAGAATAAACCAATCACTCATGTAACATATCTGAAATTAATGAGGATTTTATACGGAAACAAAAAAAAAAAAAGCAAATATTTCAGAACAATTTTATCTCTTTTTCCAATTAAACAAGACGCAGCCTACAATCAATAAAGCAATATTTCTTTGATTAACGCATATAAAACATGTTTTATTTGTCCGTTGGTCGATAAGGAAAGCATATTTGAAAATTCTACAAATTTTCGACAAGAGTCGCATTCATATATATATATATATATATATATATATATATATATATATATATATATATATATATATATTTGTGTGTCTGTAGTTAAGAACGCTCAAAAGTTAAAAAGCTAACGTGTCTAGGGATAGATAAGGGAAACAAAATAGATGTGACACTGGGATCTCTGGGGATCGATCAAACAAAATGTGAAAGAAAGAAGGGAGAGGAAAGAGTCTACCAAGTGGATGATAATTATTGAATTTCACTTTGAGGCGGATTAAAATGTTGAGAAGAAAATTAAAAAGGAAATGCGTTGAAATATTATGTTTCAAAATAATGCCAAGGTGATTCGAACCCAGATTTAACTGAACAGAATTCAGTAAGTTTGAGCAAAACCAAGACTACCCGTCCTTCCCCACTTCATGATGATAAGAAAGAGACCATTAATGTATCCTTGAAGATGTCAAATAGAAAAAAAAAATGTTGTCAATAGAGAAACCCGGGTGGTCACCGAAATAACATTTACGATTCCTCTGGACAAAGAGCCAAGAAAAACATCTAATTTGAGTCAGCCTCCTCAATAAAAATGTCCTTACAAAGAGAGAGGTCAACCTAACGGGGTTTGTTCATTATAATTGCTGTGATATTCGTAATATATATATATATATATATATATATATATATATATATATATATATATATATATATTAATCAGTAAAGAGATTGTGATATTCTTTCTTTTTCCGTCAAACACATCACAATTCTTGAGGTTGACTGGCAAGGAGGGGGATCATTTGAAAGTTTGGATTCTTCACAGGAATGTGGTGGGCTGAGGTTTGATGCTAAGAAAGTGAGAGAAGGAAGAGAGTGATTGGCACCGCATATATGGAACGATATTGCGAGATGTGACGTGAAGAGATTTGGAGTTAAGAAACATTTAGCTTTCTCTGACCACTCTCAAAAGGAATTGGACAACCCCAAATTTGGAAGATCATTCGAGTAAACAAATTTTGAAAATATGGATTTTTAGCAAACTTTTGATGCTAAGGGTGGGAGACAATCTACCCAGCCCTTAGTCAACCCGTGCCCATCATCACGATACCTACGACAAACGAGACATGCGTTAACGAGTGAAGAGTCGGCTAGATGGTAACGATTGTGGTCATAAGTAACTTGAAAACCAATGCAGGGGGTATATAGGTACATCTCTCTGTGCCCATATATATATATATATATATATATATATATATATATATATATATATATGAAGAAGATGATAGCAATATTGGCAATAAGGTTGGCGATTTTTTTCATATTAGCCTTTTGACTAAAATGTACACGAAGAGAAATATTTTGTCGAAAAAACGAATGAGCAAGGAAGTGGGACTTACTTTTCGAATGAATAAAAAAGTGGGACTTACTTTTCCAAGGAATATTGTTGTTCTTGTTGGTTAAAAGGGCTTTCTGTAGAAATTATACTCTCTGAGTAAATCCAAATCCATGTTTAGTCCCTCAATGTATAATTTTATTTAAAAAAAATTCAACTCCGATCTGTGTCGTTCTTGTCGGCTGGGTGGATATGTGATATATATATATATATATATATATATATATATATATATATATATATAAACACAAGTTAAATACACATATATATATTCATATACACATAAACACAGACACACACACACACACACATATATATATATATATATATATATATATATATATATATATATATACACACAAGTTAAACACTTTTTATCGCATGAACAATATAGAATTTTTATCTGTACATTTGAGTCTGTTCAAACGTGTAATTAATAATTCTTCTTTTAAAGTGTTAAAAGTAAATGTATCCTAACAATAAGCAATAAAATAAATAAAAAAACCCGCAATACATTAACAGCCTAAACTCCTCTACTTACAAATGAGATATTTCTTTGTTTAACGGATATCGAGTAATGGCACCTGCAAACATAACAACATATATTATTATTAGGTGGGGAATGCCAGGCTGCGTTGCCGATTAATTGTTGTCACATTGTCGTTTTAATATCACAGAACAGATTTTGTAAGATAAGCGTCTGCTTCTTCCATGTACCGTGTTATTTCAGGACATTTGCAGACATGGCTCCCCACAATAATTTGTCCCTTGTGGCTCTTAGTAAGATCAGTCTTTTTGTAATCTACTACAAACCTTTTTCTGACATCTGTTCTCATTAGACAGGCAATTCCCTTACTTTCATTTGTTCCTCTTGCCTTCAATAGATTCTGTGAGTGTCAAATTCTCTAAACCCACATTATATATCTGAGGAATTTCAACCGCCTTTTTCTGATTCAAAGATAAGTACCCTTTTTGTTTATATTTTCACCAAATCTCCGTCTTTTCTCGCATATTCATTCTATGATATTCTTAGCATCTTTCTGTAGAACCATATTTCTATTGCTCCAAAACTCTTCTTCTATGGTGATTTTTTAAAACGTAGCTTAAATGCGACAGAAAGACAAAGTCACGACACAATCATAATTGATCTAACGTGACAAGCTTGCTAATCATTTCATCACGTCGTGGTCCTCGAAAACTAACGTGTGCGTCTACTTTTTGACTATCTTGAAAAGCAAACTTACGTGTAAATATCAATTAATTCATTTCGATCTTGGTACTATGAGATTTGTATACGACATTAAACAACGGAACAGCGGTTGAAATGTCATTTAAATATCAAGCCAAACTAAAACAAGTAAGCTACTATGGTATAATATCGGAATGCAGAACTAATGCTGTCTCGAAATAAAACTCTGCTTGTTTAGCTTGGCGTAGTATGTCACACGATATAAAAATCAACTTGAAAATTTGAGTTACATGAAAAGCTTATTAGAATAATCTGCAACGTTTTAGGTGGGTGGTAAACCGCTTGAATATGGATAGAAAAACGAGTTGAACAAGTACACAAAATTGCAAAGAGGTGTAAGGAAGGTAGGTGTTTTCTCGCTGAACTTAGCCTATACACCGAGACAATCCTAAGACCTCCGGGGATCGGCAGTTCTAATCTTAACACTATAAGATACGCAGACGACACTGTTAATGGCAGACTCAGAAAGGAAAAATTAAAAAAGAAATCTTAGGAAAGTTAGAAAAGGAAAGCGAAAAGAAAGGTCTAACCATTAGAAGTAAGAATGCTTGGCCGTCAGTTGAAGCTACATAAGAAAGAAACAGATACAAGAATAGGAGCAACGAGAACGTTTTAAAGTAAATAGAAACTTATTATTTATATTATTTATATTCATCATTATATACTCATCATTATATACTCATCATTATATTCATCATTATATACTCATCATTATATACTTATCATTATATACTCATCATTGTTGTTATTATCACAAAGTTTTTGGCCTTCGCGCTTTCCTAACATGTATATCGATCTATGTAACTTATAGCAAATTCGGAATTGAATTCTTTATTCGATGTCCGGTGATTAACACTTCTCTTTCCATTGTTTATGTTAGTATTGTTCAGTTATTGCTCGCTTCTTTCTAACGAGTGCAAATACAGACTGCTGGACCCAGGGTTTGAACTCACAACTACAATACCACCAAACTCACAAACCAAAGCTTTCAGCCACTAGGCTATTGTCCCGGCTGAAACTTTGTGATACCAACAAAAAGATGATAATAGTCCGAATATAAATAGTGTAAATAATAATAAATCCTCATTCCAGAAATTCAGGCAAAAAAATACATACATCGAAATTGAAATTATTAGGGAAACGTAATGAGAGAAAAAAAGACTTGGAGAATTAAACACTTACATGGTATACTGAAGACAATAGGGGCTGAGAGATCTAGAAATTAACTAATAAAAATTTTGTGTGAGTGGGTGACAGAGCGAGTACAGAGACTTATGGTAGACATTGGTTTATATATTCAATATTTTAATCTGACGAAGTTATTTTAGGGAACGAAA